GAGCCATCATTTGCGGCCAGGTCGCTTCTGAAAAATCGCTGCGTAGCTGAGTGGTCCTTACCTGGTGAAAACCATGGACGGGGGACCATTATTTACCAGTCCCAGATGTCACTCAACAATGTATACCAGCAGGGGCCTGGAATCGAACTCTGGTGGGCTGAGTGTGAAGCGAAAACTTAGCATATGCGACTTTACCGAAAGAGCTAAGAATATGAATTACTGCAGTCACGAAAGCTTTAAATCAAAATTTATGGCTTAAAGAAACCCCAATGATCCTGTGAGCGACACTGGCGTGGGGGCGGCCTTCAGAACGGGTAAGCCTTCGTCGACTTATGAACAACATGTACACCGCTTTGTTTCTTTCGGTAGAGTCACGTAAAAAGAAAATAAATTAAATAAAATACGACGTTTCGATTGCAACACAAGCAGATGTCATCAGGTAGAACTACATTTGAGAGCGCGACAAAACATTGACACGGAGACACACAGACAGACACACAAGCAGAGAGAGAGAGAGACAACACAGAGACACACAGAGAGAGACACACGCAACATAGATACACAGAGACCCAATGCCTCTGTGTCGTGGCCTTAAATAGAGAGAGGGCGGGGGGGGGCAGAGAGAGAGGTGGGTCTCCTGGAGCAGAAAAATTAGCATGTCAATGCGAGAGCTGTGTGGAAGAAAGACCCAGCAAGTCTGGCATTGAGACAACAAACTTAGCACATTTTTAGAAATGTAATGCAATGCAACGCAGAGAGTCGGCTAACACTCAGTTAACGTACATATACACCCTTGAAGTTGACCGCCTGTATTTGCAAATACATTTAAATAGCAGGATTTTAAGGGCAGCACGCTGGCCAAGCCTGTCCGTTAAGGGTTCCTCGATTGCGTTTGGCTCGCGTTGCAAAGCGTGTGCGTTGCAAAGCGCGTGCGTTGCAAAGCGCGTGCCTGGCAAAGCGCGTTCGTTGCAAAGCGCGTGCGTTGCTAAGCGCGTGCCTGGCAAAGCGCGTGCGTTGCAAAGCGCGTGCGTTGCAAAGCGCGTGCCTTGCAAAGCGCGTGCGTTCATCGCGCTGGAACGCCGCAGCACGTTGCCAATTCCGCACCACAAAATCACTTTAACAACGCGCACGTGTGTGAGTAATGGTGAGTCGTGTGGGCAGTTGTTTTCATCAGTAATTTAATTAGGTTTTTTTTATATGTACAGTATACGTTCCTATTAACATACAGTATATACAAATAATACAAATACAAGTCTGTGGCCTTAAAAGGAGAATTTGTTTTTAATTACCGACGTTTCGAGCGATGCCCCTCCTTCATAGTAGACACACGGAGGCCGGAGAGATGGAGTGGACGACGTGCACTTTACACCATCGGGCCTGCTAAGAATTAAATTTTAGAAACGTCGCTTGTGCCTTTGCATCACTGCCAACGCAAAATCACCAAATAAGGCGCTTTAAAATATGAACATGACATATTTCTCGGACGGAATGACGTTACCGTAGTTACATCTCAATCCATTGCCAGATGAGCACCTCCGCACGGCGTGCTGGTCGTTGAGGCTATCGGACCATACTTCACCACGCTGGGCAGCATGAGTTGGTGAAGGCGTGGGAGCATATACGAGGGTGTGTCGCAGAAGTACCTAACAAGCCATGGAATTTGCCGCACCGCTCTCTGACGCCCACCACGTATGCCATAACCGTCCTATTTTAGCGACCCGTAATGCTTGGTCAGTGTCCAATTCAAGCACTATCCAGGCTCATCCCGGCTTAGTTTTTGGAGATCTGCCGAGGTTGAGCGCATTTCGGGTGATTTGGTCATAGGCGTCACGGTGTCGAGATGTTAACTACCTCACCCGGTATACAGGAGGTCGTTGGTTCGATGTCGATCCCTGACGCCTGCTGCTGTATATTTGGAGTTTGAGGTGTCTCTTTACCCGTGGTCGCGTGAATTTTTCTGCGGTTCCCTAGGTTCCCCCCCAACCCACATTTATAAATTAAGCGTTTAAGAGTAGTTGGCTGCTATATATTTCCTCGTGATAAGCCACTTCGTTGAGTTATCATTTGTGGTCAGGTCGCTTCTGAAAAAGAGCTATACAGCTCAGTGGACCTTATCCGGTAAAATAAAAAAAAATAGTTTAGTAGAATTGGAAGAAAACAATGTTTATGGTTCGGATGCTTTGGATTTCAACATTACAAAAAAACACGAAGCTGTAGGTTGACGATAGAACATTACGGGAGATGAGGATCAGTCACAGAAACAATGCCTGTTGAGTTCGGCAGATCACAGGCAACAACATCACAGTACATGTTTTCACGTTGGCGTATTATCTATTCCGTATATGCTAAGTTTTCGCTTCACACTCACCCCACCAGAGTTCGATTCCAGGCCCCTGTTGGCATACATTGTTGAGTGACATCTGGGACTGGTAAATAATGGTCCCCCATCCATGGTTTTCACCAACGCGCTCTGACCACCTTGGTGAAGTATGGTTAACCACTCCCCCCCCGTCGCCATGATTGACACGGCGTGGGGAGGCCGGCCTTCATTCAACAATAGATTGACAGAGGGCTGTGAATAATGCTCATTGCAAATATTATTCTAGTCTCTGTAGGTTTCAGAAGGAAATGAATGCTTGGAAAATCTCTGGACCCTGAAGTTTCCATTCACAGTTAAAGAAAAAATAAATAACCCCCCCCGCCCCCAAATAAGATGGGCAAACACCCGAAGCAAGGAACGACGCTTGTGTGGAACATACTTTTGAGTGAGACACGGAGACCCCGCGATTGAACCGGGGATCTGGCGTGCAAGCTAGCTGATGGTCTCAGCCCGGGTATAACCAATGACTGAAAAATACTGCTAACAAAATAATCCACCCATATAATAACATGACATGTGTATTTCTGGACCTTAACTCCTCCTCTCTCGCTTCGCCTGTGACCAAGTGACCTGAAACGTGCTCCGATCTCGGATTGAGATCTCGGACTCGGATTGAGATCTCGGATTTAGATCTCGAATTGAACTGTGCTCTGCTTGGATGGGCGACCACCATGCATACCAGGTGTTATAGGCTATAGACTGCAGAGCTGCGTTGTGGACATCAGTGGGCCGTTCGGTAAATGCCATTGTTGTAATGTACTGCACGTCCACGTCCAATGCTCTCTGTCTTCACCAACCAAGTATGGTAAAGTATGGTCAAATAACCCCAATGACCCGCACACAGTGTGCGGGGTGGGGGGGGCGTAACCCATTAGTGGATTAATTTAACGGGATATGCATAATGCCTCTCGCAGCAGACCACGTGACCTGCAATGATCTCTTATCCACACATGTCTAAACACGGTGTTGCTAAGAAATCGCTTGAATTTTAAGATTAAGAGACCTCGGAATTGGTTCAGTCATATCACCTTCCACGGGCCGTTCTCTAACACGAGACGCGCTCCTCTGTGAAATTTCCAAATAAATTCCTGCTAATCGCATGACCCCCCCCCCCCCCGATGGCAACAGAAAAGACGGGCTACACGCGTGCACAAATAAAGGGGGGGGGGTGGATGAAAAATCACGCTAACCTCACGTATTAAACGCGAGGTTGGCGGTCGGGGCAAGATGTGTGTGCACGATCGCAAGTCGTCCTACGCGCTCTCGGGTTTTTTGGATGATCTCCTGAATATTTTGCTCAACACATTTTGTTCCATGTCGCCGGGGGTTTCACCACCCCCCCCCCCCCACCACCTTTTTCTCACAGTGGATCAACTCCAAAGAGCAACATAAGCGTGAGGCTGGAGTGGCTGACGGACGGCGCTAACGCGTGAACGGAGAACGTTGTCTCGCGGGGGTCTGTACTCGTGCGGAGGTGAGATGGAATTTGCTTCTCGCCTCTGATAGGAGTGGTGGGGGAGGGGGGGGGGTCTCTGTGGAAGGCTGAGACGAGTTCAAAGTAAATTTGACTTAAAACTTTCGTGACTGCAGGAATGCATATTCTTTAGTTCTTTCGGCAAAGTCACGTAGATAGAAAAATAATATTAAAGTCACGTAATAGGGAAACAATAAAATAATAAAAATATAAAACAATACAATTTATCACGACGTTTCGACTGCAACACAAGCAATCATCATCAGGTGTGAAAACCACAGCAAGAACATTTTCTTGCTGTGGTCGTCGAATCCCTGCAGTCACGAAAGCTTTAAATAAAAATAATAATAAAGTGAATACAAAAAAAATAATTTAAAAAAATTACAAAAACACGACGTTTCGATCGCAACACAAGCGGTCGTCTGTTTTTACTGTTTTTATTTTATTATTATATATTTTTTTTATTCACTTAGTTATTTTTTTCTTCTATCTACGTGACTTTACCGAAAGAACCAAAGCATATGAGTTAAAGTAATGTTATCTGTAAAGTAATATTGGGTTGGGGGTGGGGGGGGTGCAAACCTCCCCCTCCACCTTTCGTGATGCCCCCATCAGCAGGGGAGATGTCCCCATCACATTCATACACTGGAGGGCAACGATCCGCATATGTAGAAGAGAGAGAGAGAAAAAAACCCCGATTAAATAAATAAGTGAAGCAAACCCGCTGCCAGACTTTGTGCCAACATTTGAAACATTCAAGGCCTTCTTCTTTGGCTTCGTCTCCATTTCATTATTTATTTAAATACCCGTTTCATTATTTATTTCATTATTTATTGCTATCCAATGCCTGGGGGGGAATTCGAAATAAAAAGTGAACTTCGTCGTCCGTCGCCAGAGGAGCTCTTTAAATATGGAGAGGGGGAGGGAGGGGGATGGGGGTGGGGGGGGGACTCTCAGAAGCGCTGCAGAACATCAACCTCATCCGTACCAGCAGGAGCACAGACCACATCTGCTCAAGTTACGCACTCACACAGACACACACACACATAGCCCACGTGGACGCACGTACGCACGTACACACACACACATTGCATACTGAAGTTAATGACATTTGACCGGAACCACGCTTGACCCGAGCAAGCAGTGATGGGTGTCCCCCACCACCACCACCGCCACCACCACGACCCGCTGCACTTTGCGGTGTTTCTCATCATGACGATCGTCGCCACTGTGCCGGTCCCTTGCTGCTGCCAAACAGAGGGCCTAGCCGCCGCCACCTCCGCCACGCCGTCCGCGAACGCGCCCGACGCGGCACGCTGCGTCTACTCGTTCGCGGTGGCCAGCGCGCCAGACGTGCGCTGCGCCGCGACTCCCGACTCGGCGGAGCTCGCGGGCATCCTGAGGCGCCTCTCACGCCTGGAGGCGGCGGTGATCGGCCGAGTCCGTCCCGACGACGACGGGAGCCACGGGGAGAGGGACAGGGAGAGGGACAGGGAGAGGGACAGGGACAGGGAGAGGGACAGGGACAGGGACAGGGACAGGGAGAGGGACAGCGAGAGGGACGCCAGGGGAGAGCGGCGAGAGTTCCAGAGGGAAAGTTTGCAGAACGACAGGGACAGGATGCAGAGGGACAGGGACGTGATGCAGAACCAGATGGAGCGAATGCAGAGGGACAAGGAGAGCTTGCAGAAGGACAGGGACCGGCTGCATGCGGACAAGCTGCAGCTGGCGAGGGAGAACGCCGAGCTGGAGAAGAGGGTGGTGGTGCTGACTGCAGAAGCGGCGCTGCTGAGAGCCAAGTCCGATATCAGACACGGCCCTGACACCCACGTGACTCCAGGTGAGGAGCCCCACGCTCCCTCGCGGCTCCACCCCCACGTGACTCCAGGTGATGGGCTCCACGCTCCCACGTCGCTTTCACCCCCCCCGTGGCTCCGGGTCCTCTCACCACTTCACCGCGCCACCCATCCGGGGTTCGTCGCATTCTGCGCACGTTGAACTTGATTTGAATCCACACTCTTTGGTTCTTTCGGTAAGGTCACGCAGGTCGAGAAATTAATAGATCACGACGTTTCGATCGCCACGCAAGCAATCGTCATCAGGTGAGATAACCACAGCAGGAAAACTGCTTCAGCAGTTGATATATTGTTTTTCGAACCTGCGTGACTTTACCGAAAGAACCAAAGAGTACGTTGAACTTCTTTCGCACCGTACGCATCCAACCGTGCTGATCCGAGCTTTACATTACCGCGTACCTAACACGCGCACGTGTCGCGAGTAGACTGCAGCGGGCTTATTACGCTTTTTATTAGCCGTAGCGTCGGGCTCCAGGAGAGGCGAACTCCTCGGTTCACCAATGACGGTCACTGTACGTGTGTGTGTCTGTGTGTGTGTGTCTGTGTGTCCGTGTGTGTCCGTGTGTGTGTGTGGGGAGCGGTAGTGTAGCGGTTCGCGCGCTGCGCTATGAACCTGGCGACCCGGGTTCGATTCCCGCTCACGGCCAACACCAGTGACGATTATCTGAACCGGTCCTGGGCATCCCCTAGGTTAAGTCAGCCTGAAATTAGTACCTGGTGCGGTGTGTAAACATCGCCACTGGGGAGATAACGGCGGTCTGGCGTGGTGCTGGCCACCCACCTCCTCGTGTACCGTTCCGGCCTTCATAGGTGCTCGCTAACAGCACTTGCCCCTACAGTCTGTTAAGGCTATACGGGGAATCTTTGTCTTTGCCTTTTGTGTGTGAGTGTTCTGCATTAGACTTGTAGACCTCGATCTCGGGATGACGCTGAGCCACAAATCAACCTCCGAGGCCTCGTTAATGTTTTTGGATTGTTATGTTTTAAAGAGGATGCCATCGACGATATTTGTGCCAAATGTCAGATCACTTGGCCCTTCTAAAGCATTATTATAATGTACAAGTACAGAACTTTATAGCCCTTCTAGAACTTTATTTGAATTTGCAGCGCGAGTATAATGTACTCGAATTGTAAATGTTGTGGGCTTTACTCTCCAACACACCGGTGTGCTGTACAAGTAACGAAATGACACGTTTTGTTTACGTAACAACCCTTACTATACTCTTTGGTTCCATTCGGTAAAGTCACGTAGGTAAAAAATAAAACAACAAAAATCACGACGTTTCGGCCACAACACAAGCGGCCTTCATCAGGTGAAGGGATCAGGCTGTCTCGAGGACAGCGCTGGAGTGGAACACAGCCACGCTCAGACCGCGACCTTTAAGCTGTGTGCGAGGAAACAAGGTGCCTTGACAAAGGAATTAGCGTCGGGTGGTGGCGGGTTTAATGACACATTCATATTTAGGCGATGTAACCCAAGAAAAAAGAAAGTCATTATGGATAATACGCGACTCACTCTAAAAAATAAAAAAGGGCAAATTGACTTGGGATAGAGAACATCTTTCGACGTGATGATGGCAGGTGGACGAGATCGATTGTGGAATTGCAGCCAAAGTCAGAAAGTTACAGCAACAAACAATGCCAAAAAAACCCCGATAGGAGTGCAAAGTATCGGAAATGTAAGTCAATCGCTAAAAATAAATAAACCAAAATGTAACAATTTTTTTTTATATATTGCCAGGTAAAGCTCACCGACCTATTAGTTATTTTCCAGAAGCGACGTGGTCATAAATAATAGCTAACCGACGTGGATCATTCTTGATTTGAAGCTTTCGTGACTGCAGGAATCCATACTCTTTGGTTTTATTCGGTAAAGTCACGTAGGTAAAACAAATGAAAATAAATTAAAATAAAATTAAAGAAACAATTAAAACACGACGTTTCGGAGGCAACGCAAGCTTCCGTCTTCAGGTGGGACCAGTCACAGCAAAATCGCTGCACCAAGTAAAGTCCCGGAGTTAGACTTCCAATTCAATAAAACAAATAGCTTGTGCTGCGATCGAAACGTCGTGATGATGTTTTATTTGATTCCTAACTACGTGACTTTACCGAAAGAACCCAAAGAGTATGACGTGGATAATTGATCACGTGGGAGTGTATAGCAGCCAAATCATCCAAACGCGTGATTGACACACGGAGACTTTCGCGACCAAACATTACGATTCATGAGCGAGTTTTGGGTCGGATCGCCGTGTGAATCAAACGTTGCCTCGTACAACCCCCCTCCTCCACCCGGCACAGACAGTTCATAAAGTTGTCACATGGTGAACGAACGTTGCCAATGTGTCACCGTCCTGCCTCAGCACCACCGATGCGCTGGAGAGCAATGTAAACAATCGAACAAATGTTGTCACCGATGGCTGATGATTATTTTCTACTTGCCTATAGCCCGTCCAAGGACGGGTGTACTGCAGTAAATCTGAAACTTGCAAGCGAAAAGCAGATCGTGACGTGATATTCATTGCATCCATTCGTGTGCAATTTGTAAGGCCGCGGTGACACAGACCTGTTTCAATTTAAGGTTATATAATCCCTTGTTCATCATGACGTCGTTATTACTTTTATGTCTCAATAGCGTTACGGAGATCGCGTGACGTGAGGGTTCTGCCTTTGTAGTGAGGGTTGTCAGTTGACGCTGAGGAGGGGGGAGGAGGCGCCTCGCCCCCCCCCCCCCATGTGGAGTGACGTCACCCGCTCATGATTATTAATGAGGGGGGCTGCTCAACGTGGAGTGACGTCACGCGCGGGACACACACACATTCTTGGCTCATTATATTAGTAATATATACTTTAAACTTCTCGTGAAAAAAGAGACTCCAAGTCTCAACGCATTCTCACCTGGTCAACAGACGTCACAACTGGTCCATTGTGACGTCTCTCCGTACGTACGGTGAGTCGGAGAGTCACGGTAATTTGGCGCGCCACGGTGGCTATGAAACGTTAACTACATCGCCTGGTCTGCAGGAGATCGTGGCCTCGATCCTGACCCCGACACCTGCTGTATATTTGGAGTTTGCGTGTCTCTCAGCCCCGCGGTCGCGTGGATTTTTGCCCGGGTCCTCCGGGTTTTCCCTCCACATTTCGAATAAACGTCACGCGTTTACAGTATTTTTTGTTTGCCATAAATGTCCACGTGATAAGCCACTTCGTTGAGTTTTCATTTGTGGCCAGGTCGCTTCTGAAAAACAACTATACAGCTCAGTGGGGCTTACCTGGTAAAAAAAAAACCAGTTTAGTTTTTAGTTAAATTTTAATCTAATTTACTTCGGCTGCCCGCGTCATCATCAACTTTGTGCAGCTTTTGGCCACGCGTCCTCTTATGCCTCGGAAATAATAATGATGAAAAAAATTATAATAAAAAAACAATTATACGACACACGTGTGTGAATCCACCCGTTTTTGTTCGCCAAATAGCATTGTGATATATAACGACTTATTGTTGGTAGCTTAGCTGATTGGAGAATATATAGTCTATTGAGAACATTGAGGTAGTTTATATTTTTGTTTTTTATTGGTTTACTATATGGTATTCATTATATAGTGTAGTGTATACCCAGTTACTGTTAATAGCTCAGCTTATTGAAGAATATATTGAGTACATTTATTATATTGATGTAATTTAGACTTAGGTTTTTTCACATCGGTTTACTATATGATAGTCGAGTTGTTGCAGCCCCTTTGGCGTCCATGTACTAGGTGCCTCTGTGGATATGTAGGCTTTGACTTTAACATAGCTATTTCTATGACCAGTCACAAGCTAATCCCTCAGTTATTGCAATGCTAAATTCTCCTGTTTGATTTGTACTAGGTGCCTCTGTGGATGTGTAGGCTTTGACTTTAACATAGCTATTTCTATGACCAGTCACAAGCTAATCACTCAGTTATTTCAATGCTAAATTCTCCTGTTTGATTTGTACTAGGTGCCTCTGTGGATGTGTAAGCTTTGACTTTAACATAGCTATTTCTACGACCTGTCACAAGCTAATCACTCAGCTATTTCAATGCGAAATTCTCCTGTTTGATATGTAAACCCCTTTGTCAAAGTGCCTCACTTCTCTAAACCAGCTTAAAAGACGCTACGAATCTTAACAACGTTCATTGAAGCTCTGTCGTCCCGACAGGTCTGTTCCTTTCACCTGAAGAAGGCCACTTGTGTTGTGGCCGAAACGTCGTGAGAATTTTATTGTGTTATTTAATTTAATTAATGTATTAGTTTATTCTCATTACACGTGTGTGCTTTACTGCTGCTGCTAAAGATGATGATTCTGCTGCTGTTGATTCTGCTGATGGGAAAAACTGCTACTTCTGCTGATACCATTGCTACTAACCGCCAGGGATGATGATGATGATGCTATTGATGATGATGGTGGTGATGAACATGACGCCGTGGTTTATGCGTCTGTCGCCGCTGTCCTTGAGGCTGCTGATGATGTCAATGATGTTGATGATGCTGATGATGCCAACACCACTGCAACTGCTACTGTCGCTGCTCAGATTGATTCCGCTGCCTCTGCTGCTGTTGATGACGATGATACTGCTACTTTTACTGCTGCTGATGCTGCTGCTGCTGCTGCAAAAAACACTTGGCAGGATCCTTCTGGAAAAAAAAAAGAATGAGGAGACTGAGTGAGGCTTTCTTGGGTAAACAAGCGAGGTAATATTGATGATGGAGTCAGGGCCGCCAAATGGAGGAGCGGGTCCCCGGGGCAAATCCCACTGTGTGGGCCTGCCGACGCCTTCAAACTAAAGCGGCAGTATTACCTCCGACACGTGACATCCCGCCTCCCCCTCCCCAAAAGCGCGGGGCCCATGGCGATCGCCCGGATTCGCTATTGAATCGCTCGGAGGCTGAACAATCCTAACACCCCGATCATCCCATCCCCGCCCACCCGTGCAGTGCTGCAGAGGATGAGTTACGATGAGGTGCGCGCGGGCCACTTGAAGGTGCAGCCGTTTGGAGCCCATGCCACTGGAGCCAGCGAGTCCTGGGTCTGGGCTGCGGAGCCCACGGCGGTGACCGCTTTCATTCAGCAGGGCGCCCAGGACCGGCAGAGCGGCCAGATGGAGAACTTGGGTAGCGACGCTCGTTTACATTTGTCAAAAAAACGTTCCTCGCGGCGTTCGGTGATGTTGCAGGTAGTAACACTGAGTGTGTGTGCTCTCCAGTCGTCTGGGTGATAAGTGGGCTAAATGTTGCCCAATTCCTGGCCGGCTGGCTCAAAAAACATAAAGTTATTAAATTAAATCAACCTAAGCCCATATTGTATCAATCACTCCTGTTGCGAACCTCTTCCTGGGTAAAAACGCGTTTTTTAAAAACTAATTGCACGACTACTAAATATGTATTTAAGTAACATATTATCGATCATTCGGATAACGCGAGAATGGTTGAAAAACCTCACCTCTGTTACCACGTGTGCGACTGGGCGGGAGGTTATGGGTGAGGCTTAGTGACGTCATAGGCATAATCGGGCGTGGCTTTTAGGGGGTTTCCCGCCTTCGGAAGGCAGAGCGTTGGGGCGACTCCAATATTTTAAAGGGGCCAAAATAAAGAAGCGGACAAAACTCCTCTTTTGCATATCTCTTGTCCATCCGCATAAAAAAGCATAGTCTTCACACATCCCTTCAGCCACAAAAGCCCTTCTGGCAATGTCTAATTTCAAGCAGCTGCACAATTATTTTTGAGTGTGATATTACACGCGGTCGGAGTACAATGGACGGACAGAGCGAGTGTACTCGATCGCAGTACGAGTCGACTAATTGGGTTGATTTTCTGAAGAATTGCAGCTCGAATTATAAGGCGAGCAGCAGTCAATAATAATGATTGCACCCAGAGTGCAACGCGGTTTTTTTTCCCCAACCTTCATTCCCCGTGACCCACCACCAAATCATGACCTACCTCCGTTCAAATCTTGACTTAAAGCTTTCGTGACTGCAAGGAATTCATATTCTTTGGGTCTTTCGGTAAAGTCACGTAGATAGGAAAAAAATAACAATAAACTAATAAAAATGGAAAATAAAGCAAATAAAAAAAATTATACAAATATCACGACGTTTCGATCGCAATACAAGCTAATCGTGATCAGGAGAAAAAATACGATTGCTTGTGTTGCGATCGAAACGTCGTGGTATTTTTCAAATTTTTCATTCACTTTATTTGTATTATTTTATTGTTATTATTATTTTTTCTTCTTCTATCTACGCGACTTTACCGAAAGACCCAAAGACTATACCTCCGTTCAACATTGCATACTCCAAATTGAGTCGTTACGCGCTGCACGCGCCCGATGATGACTGCTCCAAGCATTAGCTCCAAGCAGGGCTGCCACCTTCTCGACTGTAGCACCATACCCCGATCTAATGCCCAAGTCAGCCGAGGTCAGGGGGTCATCAACCTGCAACTCTGGAGTCGCATGCGGCACTTTAAGGACTGCTTCGTGATGTTATTCACCGCAGTTGCACTGGGGCTCTTGAAATATTGAACTTTGAGGTTTTTTTTTTACGATTTCGAAAAATTGTCTTTCGCTTCTTGTTATTTTGGCTTGGCAACCAAAATAACAAGAAGCGTGAGAAAAGGCATGCTTGGGATCACGGTGAAGGAATCGAAAGATGAACGCGTGCCCTGGAAAACACGCGCACGTCCGCGCACTTTTGGTTATGAATTAGGGGTCGCTCGAAGCGATGACGGTCGGCGGGTGAGGATAACCCCTTGAGTGGCAGCCAAGGGGGAGGGCAACGCAGGGGGCCGAGAGAGACGACAACCGCGTAGAGGTCAGGGGTCGCCAACCACATTAATGATCGGAGCCATTTCTTTCGAATTCTGAAAAACAATTACTAACATGTTCAAGAGCCGCAACGCAAGTGAATACGAGACGGTTGTTCCGAAATGAATAACGTCGTGAAGCAGCAGTCCTTAAAGAGCCGCTCGCAGCTTCGGAGGTGGAGCCTTGAGGCCAATTCGTGCGTAGGTGCTGAGCGGAAGTTCGCATCGCGGGACCGTGAAAATGAAAATTAAACTAAACTATGTATCTTACCAGGTAGGGCCCACTGAGTTATGTAGCTTTTTTTTAGAAGCGACCTGGCCACAAATGCTAGCTCAACGAAGTGGCTTATCACGTGGCAACTTATTGCAGCCAAATACCCTAGCCTCATGTTGATTCTAAACGTGCAGAGAAAAACCGGGGGGCCCGGATAAAAATCTACACGACCACTGGGAGAGAGAGACACGCAAACTCCAAATATACAACAGGCGTCAGGGTCGGAATCAATCCCACGGTCTCCTGCATACCTGGCGATGTAGTTAACATCTCCTAGCCACCGTGATGATGATGAGAGAGAGACACGCAAACTCCAAATATACAGCAAGCGTCAGGGTCGGGGTCAAACCCACGGCCTACTGCATACCTGGCGAGGTAGTTAACATCTCCTAGCCACCGTGATGATGATGATAGAGAGACACGCAGACTCAATATACAGCAGGCGTCAGGGTCGGGAACAAACCCAAGGCCTCCTGCATACCTGGCGATGTAGTTACCATCTCCTAGCCACCGTGATGATGATGAGAGAGAGACACGCAAACTCCAAATATACAGCAGGCGTCAGGGTCGGGGTCAAACCCACGGCCCTCTGCATACCTGGCGAGGTAGTTAACATCTCCTAGCCACCGTGATGGACGGCCTCAAACCCGTGGGCAGCGGGGTCCTTCACGAAGCAGTGGATTGACTGACCTTGGCTGTCTGCCGATGCCCCACGCTGAGCGGCAGGGTGCGGCGTGGTGGTCGGAGTGAGCGAGCCGGAGACGCGGCGCACTGCGGAGAGCCTCGACGGGAAGTACGGCGCGTGGATGCGCGACCCGAGGCCCGTGGAGCCGTTCAAGCCGGGGCTCGTGTGGGCCCTCTTCACGGTGGGCTCCAACGTGCGTCAGCTGTTCGAGTACGAGGACGACGAGGGCTTCCGCAAAGGTGAGTCCCCCGGCAGGGGTCAAACAAGGGGGAGGTCGAAGTGAGTGATTTCTCGGAACCGGTGGGGTGATAAACACATTGTGGGAAGCGTCGTGGACATTCCACATTGCTTCGTTGGGGGGGGGGGGTCAATCTCTCCATAGGGCAACCACCGTTGACTTCCGCGACAAAGTGGTACCTATTGTATCGACCCTGGAGGGATGATGGGCTGAGTCCCCCCCCCCCCCCCCACACGCACACAACGCGATTTGAACTCGCAACATTCCGAGTGAGGAGCCGCTCCCTCTACCGCTGAACCACACCATCAGGCGCGTGGGTGGCATTGTGAATTTTACGTCGCATGCGTTTTCACCGCATTCGCCGATGTGTGAATTGTAACACTCGAAAGGCTTTAAAAAACAACAACCTGTTGCGCACCACGGGAAGCGGAATAGAGTCAAGGATCTACTTACTACTGGTAATGCCCGGAGACAAACAAATGAAAGTGAAAGTGAACCTCCTTCTGAAAGGATGCCGGGATGGGAGTCCCCAAGATGGACATAGAGGACGCGGCTCTAGATGAGCAGCAGCAGGGAGAGAAGGATGGAGGCCGTAAAGGCACGCACGACCGCCTTTGTCTCCCCAGTGCTGATGTTTACACACCGCACTCAGCACTCATTTCAGTCCGTGTCGACCTAGGGGAGGCCCTGGATCGTTCTTCAAATGTTCGCCGCTGTTGTTGCCATTGTTGGTCGCGAGCGGGTGGCCGGGTCGGTAGTGCGGTGCGCCAGACGCTACACCACCGCTGCCCGGTGTCGAGGATGAGCGCACGTGTTTAACTCTCTCGTGACAGGGTGATTGACGAGCGCGTTTACAACAGTCGCCAGCTGTACGCATGCACAGGTTGCCAATGGTAGCCGGTAAAATAAAGCTTACTGGGTGGCCACGGCCGCCTTTGTTTCACCACGCCTTATGTGGCTAATTGCCGGCTAACTTAACTTAACGTGGCCGGTAAACAATTGTGTTAACCCGGACTGAATTTGGCCACATCTGTTGTTGTTGTTGTTGCTGGGCATTTCATTTTTTAAAGTCATGGTTGCTGAGTACGACTGTGTCCAAAGGCGTAAAAACGCCAAGCGGCCAGCAACGAGCAGCACTATTGAGGGTGTAAGAGACGAGCGGATACAGCTCTTGGAATGAAAGAGGTGGTTGTTGTTGTTGCTGCTGTAAGAGCTTGGGAAGAAGTAGACGCTGGGAAGGAATTCCAAAATGAAGCAATGCGAGGGCAGAAGCAGCAAAGAAGAGTTGGTGTGATGTGCAGTGTGGTGAGTGAGTGAGTTGGTGTGACGTGCAGTGTGGTGAGTGAGTGAGTTGGTGTGACGTGCAGTGTGGTGAGTGAGTGATATGGTGTGACGTGCAGTGTGGTGAGTGAGTGAGTTGGTGTGACGTGCAGTGTGGTGAGTGAGTGAGTTGGTGTGACGTGCAGTGTGGTGAGTGAGTTGGTGTGACGTGCAGTGTGGTGAGTGAGTGAGTTGGTGTGACGTGCAGTGTGGTGAGTGAGTGAGTTGGTGTGACGTGCAGTGTGGTGAGTGAGTGAGTTGGTGTGACGTGCAGTGTGGTGAGTGAGTGATATGGTGTGACGTGCAGTGTGGTGAGTGAGTTGGTGTGACGTGCAGTGTGGTGAGTGAGTGAGTTGGTGTGACGTGCAGTGTGGTGAGTGAGTTGGTGTGACGTGCAGTGTGGTGAGTGAGTGAGTTGGTGTGACGTGCAGTGTGGTGAGTGAGTGAGTTGGTGTGACGTGCAGTGTGGTGAGTGAGTGAGTTGGTGTGACGTGCAGTGTGGTGAGTGAGTGAGTTGGTGTGACGTGCAGTGTGGTGAGTGAGTTGGTGTGACGTGCAGTGTGGTGAGTGAGTGAGTTGGTGTGACGTGCAGTGTGGTGAGTGAGTGAGTTGGTGTGACGTGCAGTGTGGTGAGTGAGTGAGTTGGTGTGACGTGCAGTGTGGTGAGTGAGTGAGTTGGTGTGACGTGCAGTGTGGTGAGTGAGTGAGTTGGTGTGACGTGCAGTGTGGTGAGTGAGTGAGTGAGTTGGTGTGACGTGCAGTGTGGTGAGTGAGTTGGTGTGACGTGCAGTGTGGTGATGGAGTGAGTTGGTGTGACGTGCAGTGTGGTGAGTGAGTGAGTTGGTGTGACGTGCAGTGTGATGAGTGAGTTGGTGTGACGTGCAGTGTGGTGAGTGAGTGAGTTGGTGTGACGTGCAGTGTGGTGAGTGAGTTGGTGTGACGTGCAGTGTGGTGAGTGAGTGAGTTGGTGTGACGAGCAGTGTGGTGAGTGAGTTGGTGTGACGTGCAGTGTGGTGAGTGAGTTGGTGTGACGTGCAGTGTGGTGAGTGAGTTGGTGTGACGTGCAGTGTGGTGAGTGAGTTGGTGTGACGTGCAGTGTGGTGAGTGAGTTGGTGTGACGTGCAGTGTGGTGAGTGAGTGAGTTGGTGTGACGTGCAGTGTGGTGAGGGAGTGAGTTGGTGTGACGTGCAGTGTGGTGAGTGAGTTGGTGTGACGTGCAGTGTGGTGAGCTGTTGTGACCTGCAGTGTGGTGAGTTAGTGAGTTGGTGTGACCTGCAGTGTGGTGAGTGAGTGAGTTGGTGTGACGTGCGGTGTGGTGAGTGAGTTGGTATGACCTGCAGTGTGGTGAGTGAGTGAGTTGGTGTGACGTGCAGTGTGGTGAGTGAGTGAGTTGGTGTGACGTGCAGTGTGGTGAGTGAGTTGGTGTGACGTGCAGTGTGGTGAGTGAGTTGGTGTGACGTGCAGTGTGGTGAGTGAGTTGGTGTGACGTGCAGTGTGGTGAGTGAGTTGGTGTGACGTGCAGTGTGGTGAGTGAGTTGGTGTGACGTGCAGTGTGGTGAGTGAGTGAGTTGGTGTGACGTGCAGTGTGGTGAGGGAGTGAGTTGGTGTGACGTGCAGTGTGGTGAGTGAGTTGGTGTGACGTGCAGTGTGGTGAGCTGTTGTGACCTGCAGTGTGGTGAGTTAGTGAGTTGGTGTGCCCTGCAGTGTGGTGAGTGAGTGAGTTGGTGTGACGTGCGGTGTGGTGAGTGAGTTGGTATGACCTGCAGTGTGGTGAGTGAGTGAGTTGGTGTGACATGCAGTGTGGTGAGTGAGTTGGTGTGACGTGCAGTGTGGTGAGTGAGTTGGTGTGACGTGCAGTATGGTGAGTGAGTGGGTTGGTGTGACGTGCAGTGTGGTGAGTGAGTTGGTGTGACGTGCAGTGTGGTGGGTGAGTGAGTTGGTGTGACCTGCAGTGTGGTGAGTGAGTTGGTGTGACGTGCAGTGTGGTGAGTGAGTGAGTTGGTGTGACGTGCAGTGTGGTGAGTGAGTTGGTGTGACGTGCAGTGTGGTGAGCTGTTGTGACCTGCAGTGTGGTGAGTTAGTGAGTTGGTGTGACCTGCAGTGTGGTGAGTGAGTTGGTGTGACGTGCAGTGTGGTGAGTGAGTGAGTTGGTGTGACGTGCAGTGTGGTGAGTGAGTTGGTATGACCTGCAGTGTGGTGAGTGAGTGAGTTGGTGTGACATGCAGTGTGGTGAGTGAGTTGGTGTGACGTGCAGTGTGGTGAGTGAGTTGGTGTGACGTGCAGTATGGTGAGTGAGTGGGTTGGTGTGACGTGCAGTGTGGTGAGTGAGTTGGTGTGACGTGCAGTGTGGTGGGTGAGTGAGTTGGTGTGACCTGCAGTGTGGTGAGTGAGTTGGTGTGACGTGCAGTGTGGTGAGTGAGTGAGTTGGTGTGACGTGCAGTGTGGTGAGTGAGTTGGTGTGACGTGCAGTGTGGTGAGCTGTTGTGACCTGCAGTGTGGTGAGTTAGTGAGTTGGTGTGACGTGCAGTGTGGTGAGTGAGTTGGTGTGACGTGCAGTGTGGTGAGTGAGTTGGTGTGACGTGCAGTGTGGTGAGTGAGTGAGTTGGTGTGATGTGCAGTGTGGTGAGTGAGTGAGTTGGTGTGACGTGCAGTATGGTGAGTGAGTGGGTTGGTGTGACGTGCAGTGTGGTGAGTGAGTTGGTGTGACGTGCAGTGTGGTGGGTGAGTGAGTTGGTGTGACCTGCAGTGTGGTGAGTGAGTTGGTGTGACGTGCAGTGTGGTGAGTGAGTTGGTGTGACGTGCAGTGTGGTGAGTGAGTGAGTTGGTGTGACGTGCAGTGTGGTGAGTTAGTGAGTTGGTGTGACGTGCAGTGTGGTGAGTGAGTTGGTGTGACGTGGTGTGGTGAGTTAGTGAGTTGGTGTGACGTGCAGTGTGGTGAGTGAGTGAGTTGGTGTGACCTGCAGTGTGGTGAGTGAGTGAGTTGGCGTGACCTGCAGTGTGGTGAGTTAGTCAGTTGGTGTGACGTGCAGTGTGGTGAGTTAGTCAGTTGGTGTGACGTGCAGTGTGGTGAGTGAGTGAGTTGGTGTGACGTGCAGTGTGGTGAGTGAGTGAGTTGGTGTGACGTGCAGTGTGGTGAGTGAGTGAGTTTGTGTGACGTGCAGTGTGGTGAGTGAGTGAGTGAGTTGGTGTGACGTGCAGTGTGGTGAGTGAGTTGGTGTGACGTGCAGTGTGGTGAGGGAGTGAGTTGGTGTGACGTGCAGTGTGGTGAGTGAGTGAGTTGGTGTGACGTGCAGTGTGATGAGTGAGTTGGTGTGACGTGCAGTGTGGTGAGTGAGTGAGTTGGTGTGACGTGCAGTGTGGTGAGTGAGTTGGTGTGACGTGCAGTGTGGTGAGTGAGTGAGTTGGTGTGACGTGCAGTGTGGTGAGTGAGTTGGTGTGACGTGCAGTGTGGTGAGTGAGTTGGTGTGACGTGCAGTGTGGTGAGTGAGTTGGTGTGACGTGCAGTGTGGTGAGTGAGTTGGTGTGACGTGCAGTGTGGTGAGTGAGTTGGTGTGACGTGCAGTGTGGTGAGTGAGTGAGTTGGTGTGACGTGCAGTGTGGTGAGGGAGTGAGTTGGTGTGACGTGCAGTGTGGTGAGTGAGTTGGTGTGACGTGCAGTGTGGTGAGCTGTTGTGACCTGCAGTGTGGTGAGTTAGTGAGTTGGTGTGACCTGCAGTGTGGTGAGTGAGTGAGTTGGTGTGACGTGCGGTGTGGTGAGTGAGTTGGTATGACCTGCAGTGTGGTGAGTGAGTGAGTTGGTGTGACGTGCAGTGTGGTGAGTGAGTGAGTTGGTGTGACGTGCAGTGTGGTGAGTGAGTTGGTGTGACGTGCAGTGTGGTGAGTGAGTGAGTTGGTGTGACGTGCAGTGTGGTGAGTGAGTTGGTGTGACGTGCAGTGTGGTGAGTGAGTTGGTGTGACGTGCAGTGTGGTGAGTGAGTTGGTGTGACGTGCAGTGTGGTGAGTGAGTGAGTTGGTGTGACGTGCAGTGTGGTGAGGGAGTGAGTTGGTGTGACATGCAGTGTGGTGAGTGAGTTGGTGTGACGTGCAGTGTGGTGAGCTGTTGTGACCTGCAGTGTGGTGAGTTAGTGAGTTGGTGTGACCTGCAGTGTGGTGAGTGAGTGAGTTGGTGTGACGTGCGGTGTGGTGAGTGAGTTGGTATGACCTGCAGTGTGGTGAGTGAGTGAGTTGGTGTGACATGCAGTGTGGTGAGTGAGTTGGTGTGACGTGCAGTGTGGTGAGTGAGTTGGTGTGACGTGCAGTATGGTGAGTGAGTGGGTTGGTGTGACGTGCAGTGTGGTGAGTGAGTTGGTGTGACGTGCAGTGTGGTGGGTGAGTGAGTTGGTGTGACCTGCAGTGTGGTGAGTGAGTTGGTGTGACGTGCAGTGTGGTGAGTGAGTGAGTTGGTGTGACGTGCAGTGTGGTGAGTGAGTTGGTGTGACGTGCAGTGTGGTGAGCTGTTGTGACCTGCAGTGTCGTGAGTTAGTGAGTTGGTGTGACGTGCAGTGTGGTGAGTGAGTTGGTGTGACGTGCAGTGTGGTGAGTGAGTTGGTGTGACGTGCAGTGTGGTGAGTGAGTGAGTTGGTGTGATGTGCAGTGTGGTGAGTGAGTGAGTTGGTGTGACGTGCAGTATGGTGAGTGAGTGGGTTGGTGTGACGTGCAGTGTGGTGAGTGAGTTGGTGTGACGTGCAGTGTGGTGGGTGAGTGAGTTGGTGTGACCTGCAGTGTGGTGAGTGAGTTGGTGTGACGTGCAGTGTGGTGAGTGAGTTGGTGTGACGTGCAGTGTGGTGAGTGAGTGAGTTGGTGTGACGTGCAGTGTGGTGAGTTAGTGAGTTGGTGTGACGTGCAGTGTGGTGAGTGAGTTGGTGTGACGTGGTGTGGTGAGTTAGTGAGTTGGTGTGACGTGCAGTGTGGTGAGTGAGTGAGTTGGTGTGACCTGCAGTGTGGTGAGTGAGTGAGTTGGCGTGACCTGCAGTGTGGTGAGTTAGTCAGTTGGTGTGACGTGCAGTGTGGTGAGTTAGTCAGTTGGTGTGACGTGCAGTGTGGTGAGTGAGTGAGTTGGTGTGACCTGCAGTGTGGTGGTTATACGCCGTGTGGACGAGATGACACAGTTGTCATTTAAGTAATGCGCTAACCGGGTGTTTACTTTCTGCCCAGTTGTGTCTGGGTCGCGTATTTGACCATTGAACAGAATAATTTTCACCCGGCTTACCCAGAGCCCGTTTAACCCGCAGGCTCATAAGGCCTTAGGGCCCTCATCTTCTGTAGGCCCTCCGTTCCATGTTGAAGTAACAGCCGAGAGAGGGCGGTAGTACGGAATTGTGTTTTTTTTGTCTTTTGAATGACGATGACCTACACACAGTAAGCTAAATATAAGAAAACAAACTGTTTTTTTTTGAAGAAATGAGTGTAGTGAGTGATATTTTGAATTTCAATATTTTAAAAAGTCCCACGTGCCATTCACACGGTTATTTTTGCCTCCGATTTCTCTTTACTGCATTGCTGAAACGTCATAGCATTCACGTCGCTTTCGTCACTTTGGTGACCCAGTGCAGTAACTATTACAAATGAGGTTTCTGTATATCCCCCGGTCACTTGGGTTCCCAACCTGGTTAAACAAAACCAATTTGAGCTTGTCCCAGAAGACTAAACTAAAGCTAAGCTTTAAAAAAAAGTTGTACCAGGTAATGCCCACTGACCTATACAGCTCATTTTCAGTAGCGACCTGGCCACAAATGATAGCTCAAAGAAGTGGCCTATCATGTGGAAATGTATAGCAGCCAAATACTCTAAGCGCATATTTCTAATTATGGAGGGAAAACCCAGAGGAGAAATCCACGCGACCACGGGAAGACACGCAAACTCTAAAATACAGCAGGCGTCACGGTCGGGGTCGAACCAACGACCTCCTGCATACCAGGCGAGCGAGTTAACATCTCGCATTCTCCTCCCACTCACCCACCCACCTCCCGTGCAGGTTACCCGCGCAAGGTGTACGCTCTGCCTTACGCCGTAGCAAGCACGGGCGCCGTGGTGCTGTCCAACTGCCTCTACTACCAGCGGAGGAACTCGCGCCGCCTGCTGCGCTACGACATGACCGCGGAGGCGGTGCTGGCCGAACGCGACCTGGAAGGCGCCGGCTACCACGGCCACTACCCCTACTCGTGGGGCGGCTACACGGACATCGACCTGGCCGTGGACGAGGAGGGCCTCTGGGCCGTCTACAGCACGGCGGCGGACCGCGGCGAGATCGTGCTGGCGAGCCTCGACCCGCAGTCGCTGAAGGTGACGAGGCGCTTCGAGGTGCGCGGCGTTCGCAAGAGCTCCGTGGCCAACGCGTTCGTGGCGTGCGGCCGCCTCTACACGCTGAGCAGCTACGCGCAGCGGCGCGCGGCGCTCAACCGCGTGTTCGACACCCGCACGGGGTCGCTTGCCTCCATCGCCGTGCCGTTCACCAACCGCTACCAGTACCTGGCCATGCTGGCGTACAACCCGAGCGAGCGCCGCCTCTACGCCTGGGACAACTACAACATGGTCACGTACAACGTGACGTTCGCCTGACGTTCGCCCGCCGTCGCCGTCGTATTTTTTTGCGGGCGCGTGCTAGGGTTGCCGCGATATGTTTAGATGCAAAAGAAAAAAAATAATGCCTTGATGTACGACACTCGTTCCAAGGGCCGTCCTCGTTGTCGTGGAAGAGTAGGCCAAATACCACTCTGGCGAAGGAAGGGGTCTAGAGTTGCCTCGAGTGGAGGCGCTTCTGCTGGCGAGCTACTGGCAGCGCTGCGCCTGTGACGATGCCCTAATCAATGTTGGCGACGCAATGATCATCGCGATATAATCAGTGGGGCTTCTGGTGCTCGGTGTCACTTCGCTATCTGTGACGCTTATAGCGGACGCATAATGTTCTTTTCGTTCGGTCGCTACGTTAATCGATCGTTCAATTAACGACGGCGGTTATGACGTCATGTAATTGCCATTCCGTTAAAGGGTCGTGGATACAAAAAAATTGTTTTTAGCAAAGCACCAAATTAATAGCTGAATATTAATTCACAACATGAACTACTTCGACGGTTCAGAGATAGTTCCGCAAAATAAATCAAACGTTTAATCAAAAAAATATTTCACGATAATCACGATTTTCACCAACAATATCCCTCAAAACGGACGGCACGATTTCCGCGGACCTTGCATCGTACGGACACGTCGTAGAATCGCCATATCGCGGACGACCCTGGTTGACCCGCACTGAGACGTGCCTCTTTGGGACAAATTCGCGTTCGTAGGCTACGTGGACGAGGCCTACGAGGCTCGCAAGGAATCGCGGGGTTCCTAGAGCCAGGTTGCCTCCTTGGGCAAGCTGCCAAACGGCTTTCATTTCGTAAACAGCTCTCTGTCGTCTCAGCTCCGTCGGCGATGTCTTCCGCTCCGCTTTTTGTTGCATCGTTACGCGCGTGACGCGCGCTGAACTTCCTTCACACCGCACGTAGCCGACCGTGCCAATCGGAGGATGCGGGGGGAAGGAAAACGAAGTGGACACGAAAATCAGTTCGAAGGAAATGATTATTCCATCGAGATGATTTAAAAGTGCACAGCTCCAAGTGGCTTCTTAATATCGGAAGGAAGAGCGTTTCAGACGGCCGCAGAACCGCATCGGAAAGCGCGCGATGCAAGTGACCACCGTCTTTGTTCGGTGGCTAGCCAAAAGCCGCTGTTGTGAGGATGACCGGAGTTCACGTGATGCTTTATGCTACTCGACGAGACCCAGTAGCATCAACCTTATCTGCTGTTCTCGGATTTAATACGGTTGGCTAGGTACGGTGTGAAAGAAGTTCTACGTACAATCTCCACCCAAAAAACCCCCATTGTTTTTGCTCTGAAAGGCGTCTGGCCGGCGTGCAAGAGTAGGCCAAATACACCCGAAGGCTTTTTACTCGGGGCCCCTCTAGTGGAGAGACCCTTCCCGCTAGCAGTGAGGGTGAGCGTGGCATTTCAGGGCGGCACCATTAATCTTTACAAGGCCCATTTCAGTCACAAGAAAGAGAAGACGACCACAAAAAACGCCTCCTAAAATCCCGAAACCCAATTTTGCCACGAAACCCAATTTTAGCCACGAAAATTGAGTTTGGCTCACCTGGCCGAAATCCAACAGGGTAACGGGAAATGAACTGCGCCGCCGAGATGTGAATCGAGTTTCGTGGCCGCTTTGATAATCATCTACAGCACAGACAAAGACGCTGTCGGTGGCTCCCGCAGTGGGAGTTGTCCAGTTTACGAGACTCACATCGAGCACCAAGGTTGTCGGACCCAAAGCCAACATTTCTGCTCGCCCAGCTAAGTACAACTGCAGTCCTGGCCGACTCATCAATGGTCAGTTTTTTCAATTTGCTGCGTTTCCCCAGACGATTCGAGCACCGTACAAATCTATTATAATGTTAAGTGAATATTCATGCATTTCAGATGGGCTTTATTTAGGTCAGGAGTTGCATTTAATGTTCATTTTGTTCTCAGATACCCTTTCCCCAGATCGCTCTAACACTATAGCCACCGCTGCGCGATATATCACGCAGCAATACCGCATTCTCTCGATTATTTGCGCACTGAGTACACCCGCACTTCAGAGCAAACATCTAGCGACAGAATAGCGGCTAGCGCGCTGCGCTACGAACCCGGCGAGCCCGAGTTCGATTCCCGCTCACGGTCAACACCAGTGAACCGGTCCTGGGCCTCCTCTAGGTCGACTCAGCCTCAAATGAGTACCCGGTACGATGTGCAAAAAAACTTTAAAAAACATTGCCACCAAGGAGACAAAGGCGGCCGGGCATGGCGCTTGACGCTCAACCCCATCGTGTGCCGTGCCGCACGACCTTCAGAGGTGCTCGCAAACAGCACTTGCCCCAACAGTCTGCCAAAGGCTATACGGGCAGTCTTTGTCTGACCGAGCACATATTTGGAGTGCGTCTGACTTTGTGGAACGTCTTATAATCAGGAGAATACGGTCATACGCTCGAAGTGTGATTTCTACATTTGCGTTATGCACGGTCGTGAGTCAGCGGCGGTGATAATTTAGACAGACCGTGTTGTTGTTTTTTTAAATTCTAGTCACGACAACCTGACGTGGGATTTTAGTTGAGCTTTTAGTCGCTGCGTTTCCAAAATAGCTTTTTTTTGGGTTAGATCGCGTAAATATATAAATGTGTCGTTAAAACCCGCCACCACCCGACACAGCCAACTAGTAAGGGCTGTCACATAAACATAACGTACCAATTCGTCACTAGTACAGCACACCGGTTGTGTGTTGGAGAGACAAGGCACAACATTTACAATCTGAGTACGACGTTTCGCCAGTAATTACAACTAGCTTCATCAGGCGACAGCCAGATTTGTGTAGTCTTACTGTATCGTTCCTTATATAGAGGCGTTGCTGTGTTGACCACGCAGCTGCGCTCTTGCACAATGTGTGTGGGGGTGGGGATATTTACGCGATGTCACCCAAAAAACCTCTATTATGGATGATATTGGTCGCGAAAGCCTCCTACGCGTTAATTAAACTCGCTGGATTTCGTTTCGTCATCACCTTGGCATCGTTGATTAAAACAGTCAATTAGGTGGGTCCACTGTTAGTTCTTTAATGTTGTGAGGGGCGTGGAATAGTGAACCCGGTAAAAATTACGACTATAATGAGCCAAGAATGTCTCTTTGTGTGTAACGCCCGTGACGTCACTCCACATGCCGCACCCCCGTCATTAATATTCATGAGCGCGTGACGTCACTCCACATGCCGCACCCACCCCCCGTCATTAATATTCATGAGCGGGTGGATTTTTACACTCACGCAGAAGGTCGAGCGGAAATAATTTTTTTCGCAAATTCGCTTTAAGTTTGACGTTTCTTTCTTGAAAGTGAATCTAATAAATAATTCTACGCAGCAACAAAGTGTATTTGGTGTCTTTATTTATTTCTTCAGCACTTGAGGCAAAAGGTAAGTCTAATATATATACTTCTTTTGGTAAAATAGACATTTCTCAGTGAATTTCCAGATTTTGTATCGACCGAAAGCAGAAGAGAATAAAGTATGAGAGCAGTGAATTTGAACAAATTGAGGGTCAGTTATATACAGTGCTACAGTGACATGAAGTGAGGTGTTTTATGACGTAGTTTTGTGCAAGTGTTGTGGGTTCACAGAGAGCTGAGATGACTCGTAGAGACAACGCGTTAATTCCAATAAACGCTCACAGCAAAAGTCACAGCCTTCACCTGGGCAACGACCCTTTTCACTTATTTCCTGGGGAGGTACGGCCTCTGAACTAGCGTACCCTATCACTGGGCTACGGGCTCTAAGTCCTCCGGCTACGAGTGACCTAGGAGAGGCTACACTGACCCGACCCAGCCAAGGTAGGGTCCCGACCACTGGCTCACTCGGACCCGGCCCTTACAAGGACGTCGGCCCGGGGGTTCCCAGGGTCTCACCACTGGCCCACAGAGTCCCGGCCCTTACAAGGGCAGCGGAGCTAGGGGTCCCAGGGTCCTAGGCTAGCTGGTCTTCTGGCTTCTGTCTTGGATTGGCTCCGGACCCGTTCAGAGGTCCGGCTTTTATACACCTCCCCGGTGTGTGAGCCTCTGGCCATGCCTCTCTTCCAGAGAATTCCTGGGAGGGGTCTCGGGGGATCCTAGGACACCCCGCAGCCCCCTCCTGCTTTGGGGCTGGGGAATGTAGTGACACCCATGCCGGTGCAAGGTACTGCCCCTGATGGGCCCTGTCTGCTACTGCAGGTAAGTGCACGCAGCCCATTTACAGCGCTCCACAAGAATCACTGTCATTAATACAGTGCTACAGTGCACTACAGTGAAGTGTTTTATGACTTCATTTTGTGCCAGATTCACTGCTATTAATACAGTGCTACAGCGAAATGCAGTGAAGTGTTTGATGACATACTTTCGTGCAAGATTCCCTGCCATTAAATTTACACAAGATACAATTATACTCTGGACAATTGTTTTCGACAATATTACAGCTTCCGTCCGGGGACTGGCAAACAAGATAGTATATATATATTCTTGGTTCTTTCGGTAACGTCACGTAGAAGGGAAACAATATATGTGTTGATTTTGAAATACACGGTTACGCATCTCGCCGTGCCTTCTAAAAATGTGACCACATTGCCTTGGTCTGCATACTTATTTCTCGACGAGTTCGTTTCGTCTCGTCGCAGTCGGACGTCCTGGAGTCTCCCGTGGGTTTGCCCGGTGAACATTGACGCTGTTTGGGACGACGTTGGTCCAGTTGGTTGGGGCCGCGCGTGGAGGTTGGAGCAACGTCGGGCGTGTTGTCTTGCCAGTGGCAGTCCTTTTCGTGATTTCGTGATTTTCATTCCGCCGTAGTCCTCATTCGCGGATTCACAAACGGACAATCGCCACTACTACACTCACCACTACATTCACCACTACACACCTGTCAACCCCCTTATCAGTGCCCTACCATATTACAGAACAATTCAGACATTATTGGCCACCCCGTGCCCCTTATAAATCTCAACGTTCACCCTACAAAAGTCCCATCACAAGGGAGAAACACAAATAGACTAAAATACATGTTCTTGCCCGTATTGAAACGGCTATATGCCGTATGGACCTGAAAACTCAATTATGGAGCTGAACACTCAATTTCCCTACACAAGAATACGGGGTAAACCGTGTATGGGTTGACAGGTATGTATTTTTTTTCCCAGAACGCTTCGAGGCTGACTTGAGGAATCGAGGCTGTCGGCGTAAGGCATTGCCATTTGGGTATTCGAGGTACGCCAATCCACAATAATCGTATGATACTCGCGAGACGGATGTGGGTGGGTGCCAAGATAATTCCTGAAAACGGCGTTACGGACTATTCCTGCTGAAATGAGGCACTAAAGCCATCATTAAAATCAAATAAAAAACCCCCCACAAACACTGACAATTGATCACATCTCACGCCTCCTGCACGTACTCTGCTCATAATAATTACATGTATCATTATTATCGTCATCATTAGTACTCTTAGTTGATTGCAGCCTGCTCGCACTCTCCTTCGGGCTTATTTCTCCCGATGTACAGAGGGTGTTGGAATGTTGAGAGTTGTCATTGGCACGTGGGGACTTGTCCCAGGAATAACCCACAGCCGCCATCGGAGAGAGACGCACGCTTCTCGCGAGTGTGAATCCACAGTTGCGTTGCCCCCGTGTCTGTGTGGAACTCGGACAGGTTACAGGGGGTGGGGGGGGAGGGGGACTACACGGGCTAGAGAAGAGATGGCCTGACGTGGTGCAGGAGGGTGTGTAGCCGATTGGACTTGCCGATGAGCGGTACCAGCGGTGTCAAGATCGGCCTCTGCGGAGGAGGCTCGTGAAGGACGCTGCTGGGCAGTTGGAGGCAGTCCGCCCTCCATCAACAACTGGACGGTAAGAAGAGGGACGCTCACAAGCAACGATCGGAGCGTGGGGCGGAAAAAAAAACGTCGAGCATTTGGCATCGTGGGGAGCGCAGTCGGTGCATCTGCCGGTCATCTCAAGCCAGTCAACCCATGACACCTGGGTCTGTTCCACGGCCTTCGGCACTTCGAGTTGCCTCAAAGTGCACCTAGCCTGGCACAAGCTCCGTGGTGACGTCACCAGAGCTTAGTGGTGAACGGCGCTCTGCTGTTGTTGTTGAAGACGGACAGCGCGTGAACAGCAGCTTCTATCGAGTGTGCGTGTTCGTGCGTCCTGTGTACAGGCTGGTGGCACGCACGTCATGTGACCCCCAATTAAATGACCCCTGATAAAAAAAAAATCCCCTTTGCGTATTCATGTCTGTTTTAAGGAAACCTTTAGAAAAATAATGTTTTAGATTATTAAATGGGGGGGGGGGGGGGGGGGTGACAAGACATCTGGACCACGCTTTAGAGAACAAACTCTTTGTACGCAATCTTTTTTTAAACGTGTAAATGGTTTGCATTAAAATGCCCTGCTTTGATTGTGTTGCTTACTAAGGTTTTGCTTTGCTGTTTATTGTTTTGTCGTATCGCGACAACAAAAAAAACCCGCAACGCACGTAGATCTGCCATAGGCCGAGCCGAGCTAACAATACCACCGTGGGCTTTAATCATAATGATTTAAAGCTCAGCAAGGGTTGAGACTGGCTAGTTCTTGGACGTGTCGTAGGGGGGACTGCGGGGTCACGCGGTGGACAGCAGAGCGAAGTGCGGCAACATCGTTGATTGTTGCACAGCACTTGCGCCTTACTACGCGGCCGTGTCTGCCGTGTCGGTGCCGCACACCGCAGTTGGCAAGCGTGGTGAAGCATGGTGGAAAATAACCCCCAACCAACACCACACCCGCACGGCATAGGAAAGGTCATCGTCCAGCAGTGGATCGACTGACGTGCTAGCACATCTGTAACTGTCACGTGTGCAAAAGCGGCGACGCAGTGTTGAAAGTATAAACTCTTCCCGCAGTCAATGGAGGAGTTCATTAGGAGTTTCTCAAGTCATTTTCTCTGCCTACTGGAGCCCGGTAGAGAGAACATTCGGTCCAACTTGGCCGTCAATGAACAATGCTGCATGTGCCCCCTTGTGGGCAGAGTTTGAAGTTCGCTCGCGAGGCATTGACTTCTGTGTGTGCGTGTTGGTCAGCGCGCTGCGCTACGACCGAGTTCGATTCTCGCTCACGGCCAACACCGGTGAAGATTAATCTGAACCGGTCCTGG